CCTCCACTTACTTCTCCCCCCCCTCCACTTACTTCTCCCCCCTCCACTTACTTCTCCCACCTCTCCCTTGCCCTCCCCTGTAGCGTGGCCGAGCTGCTTGCTGGTCCGCGGTGCCGGCCGGACTGATAGGAAGGTGCACACTGAGTGTGCACTTCCTGTCAGTCCGGCCAGTTACAGGAAACAGAAACTCCGCGCGGAACTGGAGTTTCTGTTTCCTGTAACCGGCCGGATTGACAGGAAGTGCACACTCAGCGTGCGCCTTCCTATCAGTCCGGCCGGGCACCGCGGACCAGCAAGCAGCTCGGCCACGCTACAGGGGAGGGGAGGAGAGGAGCAGCCGCAGCCGCCTGAGGCTCTTAACAGAGTGCTCAGGCGGCTGCAGCATTTAAAGGGCCGGCCCTGCAGCGGCCGGTCCCAACAGATTTTAGGGCGGCCTGGGGGGCAATTGCCTCCCTGCCCCCCGGCCCAGCCCGCCCCTGCTGGTTACTGGTCTCTTGGACTTTGGGATGGTGAAAAAAGCCAAGGAAATATAGGAACTAAGGACTTTTTAATTTATCCAATTTATCCATCCATTTTTTAGTTTTTTGTTTTTTTTGCACCAACACTGCATATGGTACAATTACTAAGTAATCCCTTGTTTGGTGATGCTTCACACCCTTTTGGTGGGAAAGGTTGGTCTTTAGCCCTATGTCCACCACCTCTTCCTGACCTTCAGGCCCCTTCCACCTCTTTGAGTGGGGCCATGTTGAATTTCAGTTTGCTACATTTTAGAGTTTTGTGCGTAAGCTACCCCCAAGTGGGACATTTCTGAGAATTCAAATTAATTCAAAACAGCCAAACTGAAAGTTGAAATTGTTTTACCCTCCAACTATTCTGGATTCAGAATGGCCACTTTCCTGGGTTTCCAGATGTGGGATACTACATTGCTTTACCCTTCACTAGGTGTCTAGTGTTTGGGGATGAGCTATAATCACTACAGCACAATATTCTCCAACTAGAGGGAACTGCAGAGGTATTCAGCTTGATCTTCTGGGATCTGTAACACCTATTGTACAGCGCTCCAAAATATGTTGGCTCTATTTAAATAATTGTAATTTAACAGCATACAGCACATATGCTGCCTGAGTCAGACATCTTTCCTCATGGCCAGTGCTAGAAATTTGGTCTGCACAGGCAAAGATGCATTTTGCCACCCTTTTCCTTAGCCCCTCTGTGCCTTATTCTCCCCTTGCCCCACAGCCCATTTGGTATGTCTTTCCAGCTCCTTTTGTGTTTCCCCTTCACGCCTCACAGCCCCTTTTGTGTATCTCTTATGCTACCGACAGCCACCTTTGGAATGTTTCTTCCCCCACAGACCATTTTGTATGTCTCTTCCCCTAGCCCCTTTTGAGTGTCTCTTTCTCTCCTGAAAGCCCCTTTTGTGTGTTGCTTACTGTACACCGGCACTTCTGAAGTGTCTCTTCCCCACTGCCCATTTGGTATGTTTCTCCCCTTCCCCAGGCCTCTGTGTGTCTTCCCCTCTGTATGCTTCTTTCTTCCCTTCTCTTTTTCGCCCAGCCACTCTGTGTCTCTTTCCTCCTGCAGCTCTGTATCTCTTTCTTCCCCCAGTCCCCTTTTGTGTGTCACTCCCCTCCCCCCTTTTTAATCTCTTCCTCCTTCCCTCCGGCTTAAATTTTTATTTTTTTGCGTGGCAGAGTGGACTGTGCAGAGGATCTTCTGTATCCTCTACTGGGCCTGACAGGAAGCAGTTAGTTGCTCTCACAAGCACTTCCTGTCAGACCGTGTAAATAAAAGGGTTGTCAAACATGCGGCCCCCCAGATGTTGTTGAACTACAACTCCCATGATTCTTTCAATGAAACAGATAGCCAGGGAATCATGGGAGTTGTAGTTCAGCAACATCTGGGGGGCCGCATGTTTGACACCCCTGGTGTAGAGGATAGAGAAGATCGATCAAGCTACCTGTAGTAACTGGCAGGAGGGTGAGTTTTTTTTATTTTTTATAATTCTTTATTTTTGATGTGCAGTTTTATATTAAGAGTAAAGGTACAGATATTGAATAATCAGCGTAAGAAGGAAACATTTCTATCAGTGTGTACGTAGGAAATTAGCAAATTTTTTTATATAACAAATCAAGAGGCACAATTGAAAGAAGTAGGAGCATAGCAATTGTCACTGTTAGTGAATTCTAGAAAATAAAAGGAAAGATAGGCCAAAACACCAGGAGTAAATAGTAAA